GAAGTTCAGGAAGCATAAACAGGTCACGAGTTATTAATTAGGTTAACATTTCGAACATAAAGAACAAGTATGAGATAGATTTTAATGTAAAGTGAGATAACTTACTATTAACATAATCCCATAGGCATGAATATTTTGACTTGGGGAGTTTGCGTTACATGAAGTCAACTTGAAGCAGGCTGCAAGTCAGTTGGCAAAGGTCAAGACCATCAATAAAGGAGAGGTGAAAAGCAATATTGGAGTCATAGAAACAGAATAGTCTACAATAGCAAGAATACAAATCCCGAATATATAAATTCAGTTAACATAGATGTCACAGTAAACAAATTCACAACACCGAGAATGATTAAAGACTGATAATAATAAAGAAAATCCTTACTTGTCTCGGATGTAGATCCCATCCTGCAGTAATGTCTGAAAAATGATGAAAACACGCATCCCATCAGAAAAAAAACAACAGAAAGGTGACCTCCAAGAGTTTAAATTATCATAAAAACTATATGTCAATTGAGATATTACAACTTGATTGTTAACACATTATGAGATAGTTTGCAGCAAGAAACAATCGGTTGTTAAGCAAGTTTTGGTCACAAAGTAATACCCACTACTGCAAGAATTTTTCTGGACCGTAGTTGGACAGTATGACCCAGCTGAACAGAATATTTCACCACTACTGCCAACATCAGCCCATATGTTTGCTCCTCCACAGGTATGGTTTGGCTGTCCTGGAGGTAGTTGATAACTGTACCTGCAAAACCATACATAGTGTATATGCATTATAGCCTATAAGCAATTCAGATCCAAAGAGTAGAGTAACAATTTCGAGCTGGAATCCAGACTTACGGTTCACACACTCCAGTTGCCCTATTGAGTCTTGAAAGTGGACAGTGAGAACCTAGCGGGCAAGCTTCAAAGCACAAGATCCCAATTCGGAACAAATGAAAAATGTCAGGGATAAACCAGAGACAGAGAGTTTAATTTTAGATAAAGATTAATGAAGTAACACCATGAAATTAAACCAGCGTGGTACACTTTGAAGGAGATAACTGAATACTATAACAGTTCTTCTTCCATTTCTTCAAATGATACAAGGAAGTAAAATAAAGTGAAAAAACATCATACTTCAAGTTTTTGTTTCCAGGGGAAAGGATAGTAAGTATGAAATAAGTAAAGCAATTGATAACTCATGGAGTTTCCTAATAGAGTTAATTATAATTAGAACTTTGAGGGTTCTCATCTGAAAGTTACTCGCAAGAAATAATTAACAAGATTCTCTAATACTTACGTATCATGCAGGTAAGACCATGGGGACAGAAGAAACCTTCACAGCAAGCCTGACAGCCGCGAGTTCTTGCAGGGATTTCCTTTGAATTTTCAAGGTCAACTGGCTGATTTAGACCAATACTGCAAGCCCATCCTGGCTCACAACCAGAAACCCACGAGGTTAAATTGCAGTTCTTGTTAGGTTTCAAATAATTGTCAATGCTTGAAGGCTGAAAGAAATTGTTGAAGTAGAATTTCATTTCTGCTGCTGTGCATATCCGCCGTGTGATATCTCCTGTTGAACAAATTAAATACACCATAAGGTCCAGAACATGTACATTAGCAATTAAAATGCTTTAAACGAGGAGTAACATGGTATAACGAAAAAGGAAAACAATACACAGACAAGAAATTCTTCTCTTTATTTTTTTTCTCCATTTTTTCAGCAAGAATTGCAACTCATGAAAATAAAGGACTAATTGTAAGCAAAGTACTTTAGGCCTTCTATTTCTAATCTAAGTACTTGGATACCTCCAGTCTTTTGAATGCATTTCGTCAAGAAATCCAAATTGGAAGAAAAATTGAATGCCTTGTTCCAATCATCTTCCCTGAAACAAATTAAGCTTTCACCTTAATTCCACGGTGCAAAATGTACAGACACATCAAATGGAGGAGATCAGGCATAAAACAAATCTAGCTTGAGACCAATAAGCCGAGAAAACAGAAAGCAGCACACGATTTAGCTATAGCTAGTTCCCCGTTTCACTTTTGTGATGCCTCCAGATGTCATTCCAGCATTATCATTCAAGACTGAGAAATCTCAGAAAATAAATTAAAAAGAAAAAGCTACAAGTTCTCAAATTTCCAACATTGGTAACCCAAGAAAACAAAAGGAAACGCTAGATCAAGTACAATTCAAGGCATTTAACATTGCTAACATGATTCACTGACAACCCAGAATCCAAAACAACACAAAAAAAGAAGGGTTGCTGTAATTTTTTCTCTTGAACAAAAATATACCACTAAAGGTAGTAACTTACGGGTCTTTGATACAGAAAGTAGATCGGTTGCTGATATCCCTGCTAATAACTGCTGTCAGATTTGACATCCTGCTATAAACAAGCTGTGTTATGAGTGGAAGAACTGCAGGATTGTCAATTTCATTGTAGTCCCCCACATCTTGACACCTGACTAAATGCTGTAAACTCAAAACTACAACGACCCAGATTAGCATTGACCAAGAAGTGCAGATTTTGAGCTTCTTTAAGCCCATTTTTGGCATTGAAGTGAAGCTATGAGAATTGAAAAGACATGAAAAGGTTGATAAAGCTTGAAAATTTATGGTAGTTCAAGATGTTTGGCTATGTTCAAGTTCATCTTCTGACAATTAGAGTGGAGAACGGCAAAGATTGAGCTGATAAAAAGAGGGTGGTCTTTGTTTTATATTACAAGTTGTCAAGAAATGAATGTTTTACATGGGAAAATTTGTTCTTGGAAAGGCGGCTGTGTTTGCAGCCTTGAGAGGAATGGAGGAAGCATGTGGTGGTTCAAGGTCAATTGTGTTTTAGATGAAAGAGAAGAGAAAAGGGGAAGGTGGGACCAGTATGTAAGAGATGCAGAGCATGTCTTGGCAACTTTGCCTGTTTGGACGGCTCCGAAGACATTTCTACGTTCATTAATGTTAATTTGGTTCCCATGAAAAAAAAATATCAGAAAAATCATGGATAGCTGTCTCTTTTGTTATGTTGAAGAAGATCAAATGAGATCTCCTTCATTGGACATTCCCTCGAAGCCATAACATTTGGCAGAAGGACATAAAACATTGGCTCATGAGAATGTATTTTTTATGTTGTTTTCAATATAAATTTGCGCTTCCCGTATACATTACAGGGGCCAAAGCCTCCCAAATGAATAGATTCTGCCGTGAATGAGGACTTGCTGATCTGCAGGACACGGTTTTCCTTCCCTTTTTACATGGCAGGAAGGAAACGACCAACTATAACCAGCAGAAGGTCAGAAGCTGCTAGCGACCTTGCCACTAGGCAGCATCCAATAGAAATTTATTCTTAAATAACCCAGTATAATTTTTATTTTTTTAAAATTATTTTTAATATTTACACATCAAAACAATTTATAAATACAAAAACATGATTTAAAAAAAAATCAATTTTACCTCACCACTACTCAGAACACAGTATCAAACTAGCCAAGTTACAAACCACGCCCACGTTATGTCTTTTGCTGGACTACAGCAAGGCAACGCCGTCCCAATGACAATAAAATTCATAAGCTTTCAGGAAAATCTCATGCAATTCCTCTGGCTTGACCGGAATAGTGTATGTCTAGCTAATTTGTCACAGCTAAACTGTGAACTATCTCTAAAGTCTAAACTAGCCCACAGTTTTATAAGAGAGAAAGAAGGCTTGATTAATTCACTTGAACTCGAGTACATGGCCCAATATTCATGTGGGCTCAAACAAGCCTACAGTGCTGCAGTTCAAACCCATTTATATCATAATAGTGTCATCGGGTTAACAATTCAATTGAACAGTTAGTTTTGTTATAGTAAAACTTTTTTTAAAAAATATTTTTTATTTATAAATATATTAAAATAATATTTTTTATTGAAATTATTTTTAATATTACCATATTAAAATAATTAAAAAATTAATGTTGAGTATAAAATTTTAAATTTTCATGAAGTGTTTAAGAATAAGGCTGAAATCACATTTCATAAAAATTTAAAATTTATTTTTATTTAAAATTATTTTTATATTATTTTGATGTGTCATATCAAAAATAAATAATACACTAACACATCTCTTTAATATTATAAGCAAAGTAACAATGTAATAGCATAATAAAGTATAATTAAAATTATGTTATTATATCAATTATAATTTTAAAATTAATCAATTAATTGGTAAATGGACCTCACTATAAGTTTTTTTTTTAATTTTAATAAAAAAAACTTTTATCTTTATATATATTTTTCTAAATCATGACAAAATGTTATCCTAATGCTAAATAAGATTTTGAGTTTGTTTATATATTTTAAAAATATTTTTAAAAAATTTAATTTAATTTATTTATTTATTTTAAATTTATTTATTTTAAATTTATTTTAATGTAATGATTTTAAAATAATTTTTAAAAAATAAAAAATATTAATAACATGTATGTTAATATAAAAAAATATTTAAAAAATAATTATAGTTATAGTTATAATTATATTGGTAAATAAGCTATAATATTAAAAATAAAAGAAAGTACATGATAGTGACTGATTTTCAGTTTGTGTGGTTGGAGACTTAAAGATTCACTGACTTTTGGAATGTAGAATGTACCAAACGGCATTTATTAAGTAGTGAGCTCAAGGTCAAATTAAAAGTGATTTGACGAGGATGGGACGTAAATGTTATATTAACCGTCCGATCACATCAGAGCATTTATCCACTGCAAGTGTTTCCGGGAGTTGTTGAAATAACATTAATCGTTAATGTGCTGGCATCAATATCCCCACCTCATCAAGACAGTTGTTGAAATAACATCAATAAACAACCATGAAAAGAGAGACGTTCGTTGTTATCTTTAACAAGTTTTTATTTAAAAATATTTTTTATATATATTAATATATTAAAATAATTTAAAAATACCAAAAAAAATTAATTTAATTTAAATAAAAAAATTTAATTTTTTTTAAAAACACTTTTACAACATAACAATAAACAAAATATTCACCAGAAATCCAAAATCTCATCTGCCAAGAAAGGGGGGCATGATTTGTTGCTGTAACATACTTATAGTATCATGCATCATGTAATGTAGTGACTTCCGCGTGTTGCTAAAAATAGATAAAACATTTAATTTTATCCCTATCTAGAAGATTATGTATTTAAAAATATAACTGTAATTTTTTTTTAAAATATTTTTTTATTTATAAATATATTAAAATAATATTTTTTTTAAAGCTATTTTTGATATTATCATGTTAAAATAATCTAAAAACACTAAAAAAAATTAGTTTAAAGTAAATAAAAAATAAAAACACTAAAAAAATACTTTTAAAATATAAAAACTAACAAAGTAAAAGGAAAACTAGCATTGCACATTGCATGAGGTGCACGGAGAGAATAATTTAATTCAATCTCGATGAATATTGATTCCACTATACTTAAATAGATAGGGTTTTTTAAAATAGTTATATTATTTTATTGAAAATAAATAAGATATAGACATTGTAAAACTTAAGTAGAAAATCTGGCTAATATTAGCACAATACACTTGCATGTGTATAACATACAAAGAAACCCGACCAACACCTCTAACAAGGTGAGAGTCGATCCTATTTCATGCTTGAGATGTAAAGTCAATATTATTTGTTATTTTAGAGTTTATTTGAGAGTTTGATAAATATTATTTTTTAAAGTGTTTTTTATTTGAAAGTATATTAAAATAATTTTTTTATTTTATTTTATATATAAAAATATTAAAATGATCTAAAAATAAAAAAATAATAATTTAAAAGTAAAAAAATTAAAGAACACGATTGAAAGGCACCAAGGGACATCGGAACCGGTAATATGAATAAAATAGATGCAGGAGCTGAAACCGTCCACACGGCTTCTTCCGAGTAATAAGACAGGAACACATGACAAAGCAACCATTACAAATTTGGTAATCAAATTCTCATATGTCTCATCATCAAATAAAAAACAAATGATCAACATTCTCTTTCATAACCAATGTAATATGTGATCTCCCTCTATCAATCTTTGACTTTATATATATTTTTAATTTAATAATTCTTTTTTTGTACACAGTTGTACTATATATTTTTTATTTCTTAAAAAAAATAATTTTGATATCAATGTATTAAAATAATTTGAAAAAATTAAAATAAAATAAAATATTTTTTAAAAACATTTTCAAAAACAAATTCCGATAATCTTATGGATCAAAAATACTAAAATGAATCAAGAAAAACTAAAAAGCAAACTTTTATTAAAAAAAGAAAGAAAGGAGAGAGTACAGTGCATATGGAGCTTAATGGTTTCCAACTTCCAACCAACATTCAAAAACAGCAAGGGACACGTATTATTAGAAATGCGATGGAATAGAAGATGCCCACGAGAACTGTAGAGAGGACCGAGTCCCTGTGGGTTTCACCAGATGGAAGAATCCCATGTTTTAAAGAAACAACCGCACCCACAACACACCTTCCATGTTACCTTTCATTCGGTTTTTCCTTTCACGTAAAGCGAAGAAAAACCTTTTCACATCTTCGTTTTTGGATTTCTTTCTTCGATGAATAAAAAAATATTTCTTTTTTTTAGGGTGTTTACTGGCTCAGACGCTGCCATAATTTGTCTCTTTCATTTAAAATGATGGCTTTGGTTGGTGAGCTACAATCCAGCTGCCTTGTATTGACTGGCCTTGGATCATGGAGTGCTCGTTGTTGCGTCTATGATTGCCCTCTTTCCACCCTTTTTTGGATTCTGGGTCCTCCTTTAATATCTCCCTCATACTTGTGAAGGATAACAAGAGCTGTGTTCTGTTTGTCTCCTTCTATTTTACAAGAAAAGTGAGTTGTTTGTTGCCTCCTTTTCTTCTTTATCTAGCTAAATGGGTATTAAATTGTGGTGCTTCAGTAGACTCTGTTTATCGTCTTTGTTTGCTTTGTTTCGCTGATGGGCTTATTTATCTAGAAAAAGGGTTTCTTTAAAGGAGAATAAGGAGCTTATTGCCTTTAGAAAATAACTCCAGGGTTGATGTTTAGGTTAATTATCTTATTGACTCCGGTGCTTTGTGTGTCGTGAAGAAAACTGGCTTCGTTTTGGCATCTATGATTTGATTTGTATGTATGTCTTGAATGCATTAGTCAGTTTTGCAAGTGAATAGAACACCTTACTTCACAGGTTAAGGTTCTGCATCTATGAATACCATTGCTAATTTTATGAGAATTTGGATGTGTTTCAAGTTATAACCAAGTCTGGTTTTTGTACTTTTGTTTTAACTGTGACCTTAATTCTGGTGGCATATGTTGTAATGCTGATACAATTGTGGATATGCAGGCCAGGCAATTGTGCTTCAGGAGCTATGAAGTGTTTTCACTTCTCCAGCAGGGAGAAAAATGAAGAACCAAAGACTGTAACAAAATCTGTTTCTGTCCAATCCACTTCATCTACATCAATGTCGATGTCAACTGATCGTGACCTGAGGAAATCCGGGTCTGAGCTCAATTCTCAGAATGTATCAGATTTTAGTACAGAATCGTCCACAAAGAACTCATTTGCTTCTTTGTGTCAAAGACAGAGCAATCTTAAAGCCTTCACATTCTCAGAACTGAAGACGGCCACCAAGAATTTCAGCCGCTCTGTAATGATTGGGGAGGGTGGATTTGGCGGTGTGTATAGGGGAGTAATACGGAGCATGGAAGATTCAAGTAAGAAAATCGATATCGCTGTCAAACAACTGAGCAGAAGAGGGCTCCAGGCAAGCTTTCCCCCCTTTTCTCCATGCCTTGTTTACTACAAATCATTCTTAAATCAAAACTTCATCTTGTCGCCTTAAATTTTGCCTTGGAAACATCTTAGCACTTAAAAATCTAATACATTCAGAGAATTGAACTAAGAAGATTGTAATTAAGAAGAGAGAAAGTTATTGCCTTCAGACTCTTACTTCATTTTGCTGAGGTTAAGTTCATCTTGTTCGCAGGGGCACAAGGAATGGGTGACTGAAGTGAATGTTCTAGGAATTGTTGAACATCCAAATCTTGTCAAATTAGTGGGCTACTGTGCTGAGGACGATGAACGGGGAATCCAGCGCCTTCTGGTATATGAATTTATGCCCAACAGAAGTGTGCAGGATCACTTGTCCAGTAAATTTCAGAAAGTTCTTCCTTGGGCCACAAGAGTAAAAATTGCCCAGGATGCTGCCCGAGGCTTAGCATACCTCCATGAAGGAATGGATTTTCAGGTATTTTTAACTCAACTCTCTAGGACATTGTTGTAATAGGACCTGCTACTACTCATCTTTTGTCAACCCTCTGCCCCTCCCTCCCCTCCTCAGGGATTGAGACTGGGGGTTTTGATCATCATGTTTACCTTTTTTTCTGCTCTTCATTTCGAGTTTGTTTGGCACCGCCTAATATAGTATGTAGCTGCCTCACTTCACTCCAGTGCATTTACCATTTTTCTTTCATTGTTGCTGCAGATTATTTTCAGAGATTTTAAGTCTTCAAACATACTACTGGATGACCAATGGAATGCAAAGCTATCAGACTTTGGGTTGGCTAGATTGGGGCCTTCAGATGGGTTGAGCCATGTTTCAACTGCGGTATGTTGTTCATCGTTACTCAAAATGATCCTCAGACCATGTCAAACAAACTGTTCTGTCTCCAATCAGCAGCACGAAAAGCCATGCTATAACTAACTTCCCTTTGCACATAAACTACATTTTCGTAAACTTTTTTATAATGAATTGACAAGGCTATTTATGACAGTCATCTGTGGTCTTGGAGACTCTATCAATGCATCTTGATAACTTGCTAGTATGATCAGTTTGCAGACCTAAAGAAACTGAGAAACCAATTTATCTGATTTGGAAACAGGTGGTTGGAACTATAGGATATGCAGCTCCTGAATATATTCAAACCGGGCGTCTCACGTCTAAAAGTGATGTGTGGAGCTTTGGGGTTTTTCTTTATGAACTGATAACAGGCAGACGTCCTTTGGATCGGAACCGGCCAAAGAATGAGCAAAAACTCTTGGAATGGGTCAGGTCACACCTCTCTGATGTAAGAAAGTTCAGGTTGATCATGGACCCAAGGCTCGAGGGAAAATATAACATCAAGGCTGCCCAAAAGCTTGCTTCTGTAGCTAACCGGTGCTTGGTACGACAGGCCAAAACACGCCCGAAAATGAGCGATATCCTGGATATGATCAACAAGATTGTTGATACAACAGACAATGGAAGCCCCTTGCTCCGTACCAAGAGTTTGGCCCCGAAAGATGCTCCTGAAGGACCTGGAAGAGAACGTATGAAAAAGAGGTTTTTGGATTCAATATTTGGAGATCAGAAGAGATGCTGGTCAGCTTGGAGAACATGGAGAACTAAGCTAATGAGGACACGCTGAAAGCAAAAAAAATGAAAAATGGAGAACTAGGCAAATAAATCTTGCTTCGATGAAGTCCATTTTTGTTACATGTGTAAGTAAATTACTCTGTTCTACCTGTGTACCCCCGATATACAATTGTAAATGTTGAATAACGTAAATGAGTTTGCCACAGGATTTCGTTGCCATTACAAGTGTTAGAATGGAATGCACTAGATCAATGAGACATGGTTGTAAAACTAGCCGGTGATTTTAACTCACGTTAAGTCTTATGTTGAATCGATTTTTTTAACTAAAACATTATTATTATTATTATTTTATTTTTTAAATCATAGCTTAGATTATTTCACTAACTTGCAGTGTAAACTTGCTTAATCCACAAACACTGAATCTGGTTCTTATTATTCATTGGTTGATGCCTTATGGCCTCTATGAAAATGAACACAATACAAGCACACGAACAGAGATGATAAGGTTGAATGCAAATTTATACGGGAAAGGTGATCATATGCAAATAAGTAACATATTCGTTGCATTTATTACTTTTAACCTCTTCATATTTAAACACATTTCTTTTTTCTTTTTTCTTTTTTCTTTTATATATATATATATATAGAGAGAGAGAGAGAGAGAGGATAACTAGCGACTGGAATCAATATCTTTTTTTTTAATAGAAAAAAACTGTTAATGAAACCTTTGTATGTTTTACAAGTGTTAGGGTTCATCCTTGAATAAGAAAGCAAAACTATAATGGAATCTTACATTAAAAGTCATGATTGTAATATATCCAACAACGCAGGAACTTATTACAAGTTAAACGTGCTCGCTAGGTCCTTTCCCAATCCGTTGTGCTTTAATTAACACAATAATTTTCATTTTTTATAAACAATAAGGGACTGTTGCACAGGAGAAAATTGTTTACTGTTGATTATTAATAATTAATAGCACGTGGAGATTATTTATTAAAACATTTGTATGCCATTTTTTTATTTATTTTGAATAATAAAAATATTTCCACCAAAAGATCAAATACAATATCCTTTATCATGAATATGCATGTTTTAACGTGCAAAACAAATTAATACATAACTCAATATTATCGATTTAAAGGGCAAAATCACTTGCGAGTAAAAGAAACATAATCTCCAAAGATTTGCTAGTGCTTCCAATTTAATTAGAAAAATCAATTGTTAGTATGTCAAAACAATTTGGGATTTGATCCCATTCATACTGCGAATCATAAATTAAAAATAAATAAATTAAAAGATTATAAAATGTGATTATTATTGTGGTGCAAGGTAATTTTTAAAAGTATTTTTTTATTTAAATATGTATTAAAAGTATATTTTTTTATTTTTAATATTAACACATTAAATTATTAAAAAAATTTAATTTAATATTTTTTTTAAAAAAAATTATTCTAAAAAAAAATTTACTGCACTCCGAATGAGATACTAAGTAAAAACATCTATGGCGGTCCCGAAATTAATGCCGATACATGTCAAAATGTCAACAAATTAAAAAAAAACCCTAACTATTAAAATTCTTAACAAGCAAGAAAACACTAATAAATAAATAAATAAATCCTTATAAATTACACGTGGCTCAAGAAACCGGGACTTTTTGGTAATTGAAAAGAAATGGTGGCGGTTTCAGGATTCTCAGATAGCACTTTGGCATCATCAGTAATATATAAATTTCAACAAAGGATGCCTAAACAAACAGCAACTTTCACCAAACCCAGAATTTCTATTCGTTAGGATTTTCCAATTAAGATATTTTAGAAAAATCCTTTATATATTTAGTTCCAGAAGGGAAAGGTTGTGTTTTTTACCTATCAGGAGTTAAAAACCTGAACAGGTACTTAGGTTGCCGTATTCAGATTTTTCATGGGATTTGAAAAAAGGTTTGAACTTTATGATGTGTTTGTTTTGGTGATGAGTTTCGTTTTCATTTGGTGTTTTTGATTGGATTGAATGTTATTAAGGGTTTGATGGAAATGGATTTGGTTTTCTTTTTAGTAAAGTTATGTTCTTTTAGCTATTTTGTTGGTTTGTTAATTTGAATGTTTTTCAATTGGATTTGATGATATTGTTGTTTAATGATGTTGTTTTTAAAGGGTTAGCGGCAAATTTGTAGCTTTAAGTGTGGAAAATAGTAGGGTTTGATTTTGATTACTGAAAGTACGGAAGGGGGTTGGCAACAAACTTGTAGCCTTTTGTGAAGGACGTAGAAAGTTTTGATTTTTGATTAGTGAAATTTGGAAGTTATTTGTATAGTGAATTTGATTAGATATTGCATTTGACTATGGCTAATTTTGCAGCTTGCCTTCAGAAAGATTTGTGCAAGTACATAGCGCAAGGTGGTTGTGCTTCTTAAGAGATTTCATTAATTTTGATAGCCAAGATGATTGTATTTGAGCAGGATCCTGATGTTGTTCGATGGGGTCTCCATAATCTAATATATGATTGTACGCTTCCGAATTCTGGTTCGTGTTATGCTGTTACTCGTCATGACAGGGATACATTTAATGCTGGGTATGTTAGAGAATATTATAATGATCCAGAACATGCAAATACCGTGGAGAACGATGCTGTTATTGCTCGTGCTCTTCAAGAAGAACTTTCACGGATTGCTGATGCGGAATCATTTGGGTTAAATAACGCTGAACAAGAATCAATTATTATGCAGCAATGGCCTTGTTCTCATGAAAGATACCATGGTTCTGGTACTAGGAAATTCTGCTGCTGCTATTTAATTCCTTGGTTATTTGTGATCCTTTATTTCACATAATTCATTTGATTTTATGTGCCACGTTTAGAGCACAAGAACAGTCTGGAAGTCACAAATGATCATTGTGAAAACAAAACGGGTGCTGACAATCAAAACAAAAATGTAGCAGATGATTCTAGCAAGAAGGATGAAACAGCGATCCCTACTTCATCTTCTAAAAGTGAAGAAGATTCCCTTAATATGGAAGAGTTGGCAATTAATTCAAACTTAGCAAATGAATACGCTCTTGATGGTGAAGTGGGCAAGAGGATAAGCGATATGGTTCCTATTCCTGTAAGTATAACTTCTGCCAAGCTATACCACACTGCACTGAAGATTAAGATAAAATTCCTTCTAGCTTTGAGTAAATGACATCCTTTCAAAAATAGAGAATTGAGCATCCTAAATTTCTCATCTGTTTTCTGTAGCTTGTTCCTAAAACCAATGGAGAAATACCATCAGAAGATGCAGAGACATCAGATCATCAAAGGCTGCTAGACAGGTCTCGTATATATTCTGTTGGGGATCGTGCCTTTTAGTTCAAGTCTGTAATATCTTGACTCAGACAATATTTTTAATTTAATGTTTTGTCTGTTTTAGGTTAAAGGTATATGATCTTGTTGAGAATAAGGTTCTAGGAGATGGTAACTGTCAGGTTGGTACCTTCTTTGTTTTAAAGATAAACGGTTGTGCGAAAAGCTTACTTCTGAAGCTCTGTTACCTAGTGTTATTAGCTCAAGTTATGTCTCAACTCTACCGTTCTCTGTCAGATCAACTCTGATAGATTTAATTAGAATAATGTTTTGTCTTTTTTGCAGTTTCGTTCTCTGTCAGATCAACTCTACCGTTCTCCTGAGCACCACAAATTGGTGAGAGAACAAGTTATTGATCAGGTTGGTTGGCGTTTAGCTAAGTGTAGTTCTGTGCACATGTATTCGAGTTTCATTGATCCGTTCTTATACATATAAGCGTAAACTGTAATCTTATATCTAACAATGATGATTTCATCAGCTCAAGTCTCAGCCGAAAATGTACGAGGGCTATGTTCCTATGGCTTATGATGACTATCTGAAGAAAATGAGCAAGTTTGTCACTTCTCTTCGTTTTCTTTTAATCTCCTAAAACTTTCTTGAAATATATTCATGCTCATATGTATATTTATGCGGCTAAAATTAGGGTTGGTGAATGGGGTGATCACATCACATTGCAGGCTGCTGCAGATTCGGTATGGGCAGCCATCTTACTTTTGTACATTCCCTCATGTTTTGTCCGCTTGTCTTTCTGTCGATCTTGATGTTATTCATTAACCCTTTGTGGAAGATATCTATAAGTTGTGAATTTGAAGAGAATCGCTGAGAATGATGGATTATTGAAAATATCAGCTAGTTATTTATGCAACTAAATTCACCTAATACCCGTATTCTCCAACTGGTTGAGTTGAGTACATAATTCTTTTTGCTTCACTCTGCTTTTGTGAGACCAAATTCTTCATGAGATGACGAGATATAATTTATCAATTCTCTTAACTTTAATTAAATGAATTGCTTTTGTTTTTTTTGAGTGATTTTTGCAAGAATAAAAATTGTGAAATTGCTTTTTTTGTCTCACGATAACTTTTCCTTGATGGATAATATAACAACACTACGTTTCAAGTAGTGTATCTACTACCGGGAAATATTCTTGTAAGCCGGCTTTGCTATATTACTTTAGTACTTTTTACTTTTTTAAGAGCTCATGAATGCTACTTGTTTTCTGTCTGTAATTTTATTTTAGAGGTTTAAAGCTTATTTAACTGATGTATTTGCATGTTGCCATGTAATTGCAGTATGGTGTCAAGATATTTGTGATTACTTCATTCAAGGATACATGTTACCTCGAGATCCTTCCAGAGACTCAAAAGTCCGATCGGGGTAAGATTAGACTTTTCGAACTTGTGTGCTGATTAATAGAAGTCTAAGCTGAAGAATGCTTCACCATCTTTCTAATATATGGAAATTTTATTGTAAGATTGGTGTTTTCTGTAGAATAAAATTTATTAATTATGAAATTAGGAAATGTAATATGCCCTGAAACTCATTACATTGAACATGCTCATATAATCAGCGCCAAGAAAATTCTTATCCAGTTCAAACCAATTATTTTTTTTTAAGAACAAAAAAAGAAGAAAGAGGAGAAAGAATTGGGAAAATATAGGGCGAGCAGATCTGAAATCAACTGCCCTTGCAACTTGTGTTTTGTGCAGTTATTTTCTTGAGCTTTTGGGCGGAGGTGCACTACAATTCAATATACTCAGAAGGAGGTAAACATTTAATCCCGTTGCCATAGCAATGAAAATTGTTCTGTGATACTTATCTGTAAGGTCTATCTTTCCCTGGCTTCCAAGTTACATCTGATGTGGTCTTTGGCTTTTATAA